AAGAATGTATATTGTGCTGTTACTGGGTAAAGTTCTCTGTACATGTCTGTAAAGTCAAGTTGGTAGATTGTGTTGTTTAGTTCTTCTGTGTCTTTGTTGAGTTTCTTTCCAATTGTTCTATCCTTGATGGAAAGTGGTGTATTGAAGTATCCTACTATGACTCTGGAATCATCTCTTTGTCTTTTCAGTTCTGTTAAAGTCTGATTTATGTATTTTGGTGCTCTTTCATTGGATGCATGTATATTTATTATGGTTATGCTCTCTTGTTCAATCGATCCTTTAATCATTATATACTGTCCTTCCTTGTCTCTTACGGTGCTTTTTCTCTTAAAATTAATTATATCAGAAATTAATATTGCCACTCCTGTTCTTTTATGGTTGCCATTTGCTTGATATATCTTTCTCCAGCCTTTGATTTTTAGTCTATTTTTGTCTTTATCTTGTAGATAGAATATTGATTTTTCTTATCCAGACTACAACTCTCCGTCTATTGAGTGGTGCATTTAATCCATTGACAATCAGTGTAATTATTGACAAGTATGAATTTGTTGCTGTCATTTTGTTATATGTTTTTTCATGGTGTTGCTGATTTGTTTGTTCCATTTAGTTTTCTGTGCTGACATAATTTTGTTAATGGATCATGTTATCTCTTACTTCATTGCTGTTGTTTTGTTGTTGTTGTTGTTATTATGTGCCATCGAGTTGGACCCAACTCATTGCGACCCCTCCTTGGGCTTCTGAGGCAGTGTTTTAGGTATTTGCTAAATATTTGCTCTTGTCCTCTTTTTCATTTTGATGTGAAAGTTTTTCATTTTTCTTTGAGGTTACCCTGTGATTTATTATTTTCTTACCAAGTTTAGAATAGTCCATTCTGTCTTAGAATTGTCTTGACTTCCTCACCATTTAGAAGTTCTATAACTACACAGTTTTTTCCCTCTTTCTGGTTTGTAGTTATCCTCATTTGCCTATTGATGTCTCTGGTTCCCTGTTTTCACTTATTTGCATTGGATACTTCCATAACTGGGTTGGTTTCTGGGTTATGTCATGATGTGCATTAATGGTAGGTAGTTGCTTGCTGTTGTTGATTCTCTGTCCAAGGGACTCACTTTAGCATCTCTTGTAAGGTTGGTCTGGTTTTAACAAATTCCCTTAATTTCTGTTTACCTAGAAATGTCCTAATTTCACCATCATATCTGAGGGACAATTTTGATGGGTATGTAATTCTTGGAAGCTTTTTTTCTTTCAGGGTTTTATATGTACCATCCCATTGCCTTTGTCCCTGCATGGTTTCTGTCAAGAAATCGGAGCTTAGTCTTATTGGTTGCCCTTTGTAGGTAACTTCATTTTTTCCCATGCTGCTTTCAGGATTCTTTTTTTGTTTTTGGAGCTCTGGTGGCATAGTGCTTAAGTAATTTGACTGCTAACCAGAAGGCAGGTGGTTCAAACCCACCAGCCACTCCTCGGAAGGAAGGTTGGGAATCTACTTCTGTAATGATACCACCTCAGAAACCCAAGGAGGGGTCGCTATGATCTGGATCCGACTTGATGGTAGTGAGTTTGAGTTTTGGTTTTGGTGAGTTTGATGATGATATGTCTTAGTGATTTTCTTTTGGGGTCCGTTCTGTTTGGGGTTCGTTGAACTTCTTGAATAGATATATCATCTTTCATCATATCAGGGAAATTCTCTTCCAACAAATCTTCAACAATTTTCTCCATGGTTTTTATTTGTCTCTTCATGTTCTGGAATTCCAATAACACTTAGGTTATTCCTCTTGATGGTATCCCACATAAATCTTAGGCTTTCTTCATTTTGTTGTGATCTTTTTTCTGATTGATCCTTTTCCAAAGAAGTATTGACATATTTATCTTCAATCTCACTAATTCTGTCTTCCATTGATTAGATTCTACTCCTTTGACCATTCAGTGTGTTATCTATTTCTGAAATTTTTTATTAATCTTCTGAATTTCTATCTAGATTTTTTATCATTCCTAATTTTTCATTTATTTTGTCATTTTGTTCTTGTATTGTTCTAGACTTTTCTCTGTGTTTCCTCAATTTTTGTTAGTATTTTTCTTGATCTGTCTCTCAGTCTGTTGAAGGTAACTAAATGTAATTCTTTTGAATTCCTTATCAGGGAGTTCCAATGCTACTTCTTCCTCAAGGAGGGCTTCTAGGTCTTTACCATGGTCTCTTGTTTCTACTACTTTATCTTGCTTTTTTTTTTGTGCATTCTGATGATCTGTTGTCTCTGAGACATTGTGACTTTTTGTGTTTATATTTATTTGGTGATTGTATGTTGGAGTGATTCACCCAAGAGTTTTGTTTTCTTTGTCTGTTATCTGAGTAAGCAGGATACTGTGCTCCTCTGTTTGCTAGTTGGCAGCGCTTATGCACTCCCCACCTCTCTGCTTTCCAGTCATCAGCCTCCCATATGTCCATGTTATCCTTAGCAAGCGGAACTTATTCTTAGGTCTGTGGAATCTGAACAAGAATGCTGTTACTTTAAATAACCTAAAAGGTCACCACTTTTAAATATTCAAAATAACTGGACCCTCCAGACAGCTGAAAGTCCACAGCTCAGTTTGTCTCCTTCTTTTCTGTTTCCCTTTTTTAGTCATCAGCCCCCAGCACAGTCATCCAGGCAGCCCTTGGCGAACAAGGCCGATTTTTAGGTTAATTCTCAGGTCTTAACACCATTTGGAAATATTCAGGCTGTCCATGCCATCAAGATAGCTGACAGTCTGCAGCTCCATTTATTTCCTTATTTACTGTTTTCATTCAGTTTCTTGTACTAGTTGGAGTTTAATCCATTTCTGTATTGTTCCTTTCAAAGCTCAGAGCTCCAGGATTATCTTCTGTATCTGTGTCAGTTGCTTTTTCTTTTCTTTGATGAAGAGGGTCTGTGTAGCTTGTCTGCCTATTCCTCCATCTTACCAGAAGTCCTTTTCCAAGCTACTTCTAATATACTAGAAGCTGACCACATTCCTAGGGCAGCTACTCAGCTGCTCCAGCAGTTTCTACCATGGAGTTGATTACTGTTCTCATCATGGGGAACAACTGCATCCACCTGTCCAGCCACTCAATACCAGGTGCAGCCAAGTTGACATATAGCCTTAACTAACACAACATCTTTCTAGTATTCTTTGCTTTCAACCAAGGTCTTTCTGACATCAGCAATGATATCCCTCGTATCATGCCTGCTTCTGAATCCAGCTTGAATTTCTGACAGTTCCCTGTCAGTGTTCTGGTGTAGCCATGTTGCAATTATCTTCCAAAAAGTTATACTTGCACGTGATTTTTTAAAAATATTGTTCAGTACTTTCCACATTTTGTTGGATCCCTTTCTTTGAAACCGACACAAATATTGATCTCTCCCGGTCGTTGTTCAGCTAAGCTGTCTTCCAAATTTCGTGGCATAAATGAGTGAGCACCTCTAGTGCAGCATCTGGTTGTTGAAACTTCTCAATGGGTATTCCATTAGTTCTTGGGGCCTTGTTTTTCACCAATTTCTTCAGTGTAGTTTGGACTTCTTTGAGCAGTACCTGATGGTAAAACAAGGCCCCACAAACTGATGGAATACCCATTGATCGTATACTACCTCCTGAAGTGGTTGAATGCAACATTTCTTCCTGGTACCTGAATCATTCCATATTTTTCTATAGAATCCTTCAATATTGCAACTCAAGTCTTGAATTTTTTTTCTTCAGCTTTTTCAGCTTGAGAAATGCCAAGCAAAATTTTCATCCCTTTTGATTTTCTAATCCAGGTCTTACATATTTCATTATTATGCTTACTGTGTCTTCTCAAGCTGTCCTTTGAAATCTTCTGTTCAGCTTTTTCATTTCATCATTTCTTCCATTTGTTTTAGCTACTCTCCATTCAAGAACAATTTTTGCAATCTCTTCTGATACCCATTTTGGCCTTTTCTTTATTTCTTGTCTTTTTAATGACATTTTGTTTTCTTCATGCATGATGTTCTTGTTTTCATTCCACAACTCATCTGGTCTTCAATCATTGGTGTTCAGTGTGTCAAATCTGTTCTTCAGATGGTCTCTAAATTTAGATGAGGTATAATCAAGGTCATATTTTGGATCTCATGCATTTGTTTGATGTTCTTCAGCATCATCTTGAACTTGCATATGAGCATTTGATGGTCTGTTCCGCAGTCACCTCCTAGCCTTGTTCTTACTGATGATATTGCACTTCTCCACTGCCTCTTTCCAAAGATAATAGTCAATTTGATTCCTGTGTATTCCATCTGGCAAGGCCCACTTGTATAGTAGCTGTTTATGTTGTTGAAAAAAATATATTTGCAATGAATAAGTCATTGGTCTTCCAAAATTCTATCATGTGGTCTCTGGCATCATTTCTATCACCGAGGCCATATTTTTCAGCTACTGGTGTTGTGGTGTTGCTTCTTTGTTTCTATCTTTCAAAGCTGTTCCTTTTGACATTTAGTCATGCCACATCAGCAAATGGAGGTCCTGAAATCTTTACTCCATCCACGTCAATAAGGTCAACTTTATTTTGAAGAGGCAGCTCTTCCCCAGGTATATTTACAGTGCCTTCCAACCTGAGGGACTCATCTTTCGGCACTATATCAGACATTGTTTCACTGCTGTTCATAAGGTTTTCAGTAGCCAATTTTTTCAGGAGTGGATGGCCCCTCCTTCCCAGGCTGTCTTAGTCAGGACGCTCCATTCATACCTGTCCACCGTGGGTGACCTGCTGGTACTTGAAATACTGGCAGCATACCTTCCAGCATCACAGCATCACACAAGCCACCACAGTACGACAGACTGACAGATGAGTGGTGGTTAAATTGATTAGAAAGTATAAGTTGGGTTAATATTTTCCTTATTTAAATTTGTTAAATATTTGACCTTTAACTCATGTCAGAGGACAGATAACGTATTTGCTTTGCTTTTTCTTTTTCCTTGATTTCTTTGTGTTGATCACATAAAGAACCATTTATAACCTGATTTCCTGTTCTTTACAGCCCGAGTGATTGATATATCTAATGGGAAAGTCCATGTTGCTGAAAGCTGTTTGGAAGAAACAGGCGGATTGGGAGTTGATATTGTCCTAGATGCCGGAGGTTGGTATAACCTGTGTAATTTGTTTAGCTTGATGAATTTCAGATAACTGGGAAATTATTATTAAATTGAATGATTAGTTGTTGTTTTAACTAATAATTTATATATTTAAGTTTCTCTGCTTAATGGGACTTTTTCACTTTATCCCATTGTAAACTCTTTCTCTGGAAGAGAGAACATGCTTGCCTTTTAAAGTACAAGATTAGCTACATAGTTCTTCATTTTTTTTTATCTTTTTTTTTTTAATTTTTTGTTTGTCATAGTTCTTAAATTTTATAACAAGGCTACTTTTGGATTTTAAGTTAAAAATGACATGCTTCTATAAGAAACCTACAAACATGATCTTGTAAGCAGTTCCCAGATGATACACATATTTTCAGGGCTTCTTCAGGCATTTCTGCTGTGTGTGGCTACTTTCTGTTGGGGGGTGGACTTCTGCAGTCTCTATGTGGAAAATACACAGCAATTGGTTCCATTTTCACCTTCCTTGAACTTTTTTAGTTTAACCAATATCTGTTTAACACCTAATCAGTACACACTTGGTTGGTGCCATAACACATAAGGATAAGTTTCACAAACTTATAAAGGGCTTCCTTTTATACTGTAAATGCATCTTTTATTGTGGGAATTGGCCAGTTTATGTTTTCCTTTTAACTAGTATTTTTTAAGATTTGAAATGAGAGGAAAAATTTGTCAGTGGAAGTAAATGTATACTTCATTGACTTCATTTTTTTCAAAAAGATATTTCAATAATTATGTGTAAGTATGACTATCTTTCTGAGCATTCCATTTTATTCTGTTTTTACTTTGGGGAAGAATTAGTTATTTTTAAATGTGGAGAGTTTAAAGACAACATGCAACAGTAGAATGGAAGAGAACATATCCAGAGGATAGAAGTCTTGACATGTGGAAATTCTAGAAGCAAATTTTTTTTTTTCCATGAAAACTTTACATATAAGAATTCTGGCATTACCAACTAAGAACAGTTATAATAACCACTTGATTTCAGTGTTGATGCTGAGAGTAAAATGTTTAACTTGGATGTTAGCAGAACAGATATCTATAATGTCATTATTAATACAATAAAAAGTTGGTCAGTATCACATGTGGAAATAAAATTCTTATCAGGTGACACCACACACCAATGACTTTCTTGTTTATTTTGTATACACCTTTTAGCCTCTCCATAAATGCACCAACTCATCAGCTATCCAATCTCAGATACATGTACATGCCTTGCAGCAGGAACAAGACACATATCCCAGTTAATCTTATTCAGATATCATCATCATGAATACAATAATTATATTTATTGAGCACTGTCAAATTCCATCAATATTAAGATGGCCATTCATATTTTCACATCTCTGAAGGTGGAATTTGTTTTTCAATCAATGTTGCCTTACAGTTGGTATTAGCAGATGGTAGACATGCCAAAATTGCCTTACCTTTTTTTTTTTTTTTTT